AGCGTTTGCTGTCACGATTGACACGAGTGCCGAGTGATCGCTCCAGTGTGGATGCTAATTGGGGTCAAGATGGTTCCCGTCATATCGTCATTTCGTTTCATCCATCTTGCCCACAACCAGAGCCTCTGTCGCTGGCCACATCACATTCGTTGCGGTGTCTTCATTGGATAAGAAGGGGGAAGCAAACACATGGCCAGAATGACAACGATGGAGTTTTGCTGAGTTTTTTTACTGATTGGCCCTTGCCTGACTTTTTGATCTGTTGATGAAGGATATATACCAATCAATACATGCCACGGCGGCTCAGAGCGCGCAGATGCAGATGGATACGCAGGTGAAGCTCACCAAAACTACCTCTTTACTTGGACATCTGGTTCACCTCATCATCTAGTCGTGCTGGTACGGGTTCCAAGGTACTTAAACCCTCCCTGCTTCCTCTCTTCCCAGATTCTGCTTCCTTCTCTCTCTATATATATACTTATACCTTCCTGCTTCGCCTCTTTTCCTTCGGGTGCGGTATTCCCAGTTTCCTCACAGCCATGAGCATGCCCTTGCGACCTCCCCCTATCAGCTCATCCACGAACCAGGACTTGTCTTTTTCGAATCCTGACCAACCACCCTTGAAGTTGCGGACCCCGACGGAAAAAGACTTCCATTTTCGGACACATTTCAGCTCAGTCACAGAGTCCCCTCTAGTGTACAATCGCCGCACGAGCAAGAAGATTGTGCACCGCGATCAATAGGAGATTGCACACCCAGGTCACCATTTTGGAACCGACTCTACTCTATTCGACTTCACCCACTCTGAAGGAGGACTCTCCTCTGGGGAACGCTGGTCCCACTCAATCGCGATGCCTCCCGACAAGCCACCACCACGTCTTACTCGGAAATAATCATACGGCATACAGGGATCCCAGAATTTCCAGCAGATGATTTTCCGGCAGATGGGCACACTCGGAGATTTTCGATCCTACGGTAAAGATCCCAATCTACCACAAATCCCATATATATATACATATATGCGGTGACTGTTCTACACCCTAACCCGGTCACCTATCTCGATTTCCCGGATTCCATAGTGCGACGGTGTGACAATACCCACGAGAGGCCTCCTCTTGCGAGTCTCACCCGCTCCTGATGATCTGCGGACCGGTCGAAAAGGTCGTCTGACACGAGAAGACCAAAGGAAGCCCGGTTGCCGGTCTGGGCAGGGTTGGTATGCACTTTGTCGTGCGCGGACGGACGACCGACCTTTTCTGCTGGGACACTCCAAAGCAGATGATCTGGTCAATTGGGACAATCACTCGTTTACACACATATACAAGCACACAAAGCTGTCAAAGTGTGTCCTCGACAAGTGCAGTATGTCCTTGTTCCATTTTCTTCCCATCCCATTTTTTTTTTTGGCCTCAACTAACGATTTCAAACCCACATTCACAGAAGACGCGTTCCAAGGAAAATCGCGCGGCGAGAATGTTTGATTTCTCGCCATCCTAGCTACGCATCACGTCCGGTCTGTCGGTATCCCCCTCCCCCTCCTCGGCCGCCAGATTTCACACGCTTTGTCCCTATTGCGGTCGATCCTGGGAATCCGTTTTGTTTCTCCATGCAATGCTCTTCGGAGGTCGGCGGGGGGGTGATGGAGCATGCGTATCTCGGAGAGTGATCAACTTACAACACAGACATCGGAAAAGTATCCTACGACGTCCTCCATCCCCCGACCTTGACCCGACCATCCCTGCCTGCCTGCCTGGCCTGCCTTCTTACCACCCTGTCCTCCTGTCTCTTTTCGCTTCCACCTTGTTGCCCTTGTTCCGAGTCTGGAGCCAAATCCCCCGCCCCCCCCCCCCCCCCCCTCTTTTGCTGCGTTCGCCCCAACGAACCACAAAAAGACAGAGGTCATATATGACGGAACCACAATACCGAAACCAACCGCATCTCGAAGGTCCACGGATCGCACAAAATGCGATACACGCCGCCTCCTTGTTGCCCTAACACCCTGTTAAGAGGGGGCGTTACCCGAATACTTTGCCCAGCGGCACACGACGGCCACCAGATTTTCTTCCTTCCTTCCATCCATCCGACCAAGCAAGCAATCAAGTTCTCACACTCACAACAAGATGGCACAGATGGCACAGAGTACGAACTTTCTTGTTGGCTTCTTCGTATTTACTCAGATCCTCTAGCAAAACAACCAAGCGGCCATGGGCCGAGAGATAGATAGAATCGGTCGGGCGAGGCCGGATCGAAACTCGGTTTTGCAGGGGGGAAATGCAGACAAAGTGTCATCGGCGGAGACGAGCCACGGGGGTGCAAGAGCTAGAAAATAAATGCAGCAAGAAAGTCTAAGGCAAGAAGAGGCTTCACTCGTTTCGTTTCGTTTTTCGTTTTCCAGGATACATTGGATAACACAGATGGATGGCCAAAAAAAGAAAAAAAAGAAACAAAAAAAAAAAACCAAAGAAAGATCCATGATCGGTCATAGAAGAGAATGGGTTAGCGGGTGAAGTGGGCGAACTAAACGAGGGCAACAACGAAACAAGATATCAAGATATTCCTGAATAGCTGGAGACTCGCACCAACAAATAAAACAATGATGGAAAAAAAAAAACACAAACGTTCTTCTACTAGAGTACTAACTAAATCTATCCATCCGTGATGTGATATGAAAGTGCAAATCTAAAACCAACAAACAAACAAACAAGATCCTCCACAAGAAAGAAAAAAAAAGCGACCGTTCCTTTCCTCACAGTACGTTTCCAAGCCTGGCCAGAATCATTCCCCCAAAACAAAGCCATATCATGTCGTCAAGGAACCCAAAGCGTATCCTATCCAAGCATGTCGTAAATCGTCTCAACCAAACAACATCCAAAATCCAAAATCCAAAATTCCACCGGACAATTGTATACCTCCCCATCATTGCCGTCGTCATCATTGCATTCTTGCCCTGTCTCCCCCAATCTCAGTCGCGCACGTTGTCGTCATCACTCACAGATCCTTTTTCGGCGGTGGCTTCACGGTCGCGTGCGTCCCTCCCACAGTGACGGTGAACAACTTGGGGTCGCCGGCGTGCACCTCACCACTCTGGTCGGCGCCGCCGCTCGGCTGGACATCGTCATAGGGGAAAGCATAGCCCTTCCCGTCCAGGTTGAGAGAGTGCACGATCCGGGAGTAGTGGTTCGTGGTGGGGTCCTTGTAGTACATGCTTTGAGGGGCCGGGAAAGAGTTGGAAACGAGCAGGGTCGAGCGGTTGAAGGCCGCCGCCAGTCGGGGGATGATGGCGTTGGTTTGGGCGTTGGCGCCCGTCGCGAACGGTCCGGTCGAGCAGGTGAAGATGTCGCGGGTCGACGGTTTCGCGAAGCTCGATCCGCCAAAGTTGAGGGTGCCGTTGTTGTTGTTGACCTTTGCCGAGACGGTGCCGAACGAGGCTTGGGTGTCAATGGACATGGATTGAGAAGCAAACTTCTGCCAAACTCGGTTGACGTAGCCGTCAAAGTAGTTTGCAAACAACGAAGGGTTGGTCACCATCCCTTGGTTCGGCGACAGCGCACGCAGGTTCCGCCCATTGTGGGTGACAATCAGTTTATCCCAGCCCTTGCCGTCGGCGGCGTTCTGGGCGCGGAGACCGTTGCAGACTTGGTCCAGGCCGTTAGCAGGCATCCCCGAGACATGCTGGGTGGCGCCCCCTTGGGTTGTGAGGGTCAAGGCGATGGGTGGGCCGACGAAATCGACGTAGCTGATGTTGGCGTACAGTTGGTCGCTATTGAATGTGAACTCGGCAAAGCCCCAATTGGTGTTGGCATTGGGATCGGACGGATTGGTGACGGATGGCTCGACCAGCGCGGGCCCTGGGTTGAGCAGGAATTTCAAAGGCGCATCTATCGAGAACCAAATGCGACCACCGGCGATATGGGGTATTGTCACCGTCGTTATGTGTCCCGGAGCTCCGAGGGGAATCGCACAATTTTGTGGGATCGACGAGCCGACCGCACCCGGAGAGCTGGGATAGAAAGGGGTTCTCCCATCCGCGGAGAGGAGAAACAAGGCGTTGCCACGGTCGATCGCTTGACCTGTGACATAGGCGTAGACAGTGTTGGATGTGGTCTGGTTTTGTAACGCGATCTGTAGACTTGAGCCTCCTGCCAGAGCTGAAGTCGGCTCAATCGCAGCCTGGACTTGAGGGGCGGCGGAAGACTCTCCAGTGCCGACGCGTCGAATAAATTGTTGAAGACGCTGCATTGTTACAGATGGTCGCGAAACGAAGACTTGAGCTGAGCTGAGCTAGTTGAGTTAAGTTGAATTGAGTTGGGATGAGACGAGTTGAGATGGGATGAGGATTGAGAATTGAGAATTAAATCGATGTCCAGATATGCTCGAGACTTTATGTCTTTCTCGGAAAAAGATGGCGACGTCATTTCCCAGCCAAATGTTTGATATAGCTGCTCAGCTTGGACCTCCCTCACCCTGCCTTGCCTGCCCATACAGAAGGCAACCATCATCCCCCAAAGTCGTCTGATGCTCATTTGCCCATGGACAACAAAAGTTCAAACTTAGATCTTCGTTACAGGGATTCTTTTACGTGCAATATCAGCCCCGTCGAGGAACGTGGCACGAACCGAGGCCGCTGTACCAGATCTTGACAGGGGTCCGATGGTGCCGCCGTGTCGCTATTGGTTGCGTACCTGACCGGCCCAAAACGCGGATGACCAAGGTTTTGATCGCCTGATTCCTGGTTGCACGCTCGGCACCCATCGTTGCAGCCACACAAGGCCGGAAGATGCAACCCGTGACGTGGCCGTCATGAGGTTAATTCCCCTTGAGTGCGACCGGTTTTGGGCAAGATCCTTTCGTGTTGATCAAGGTTGGATTCCCGGTTTGATGGGAGGCTCCCGAAACATTGAGTGCGTTTCATTGCGGTCAATCAGTCATCAGTCGTCCATGGATCATACCCTGAAAGACAGTCTGGTTGGTCGCAAAATGCCAACAACCTCACCGTAATGTCATACCAAAAAGGTCCAATAACTGGGAAAGACGAATTCTTCCTCAAAGATCTTCCTAACTTGTTCTAGAACGAACTTTTCCACCTTTCCCACGTTTTTGAGTGCTTGTTTGCCCTCCTCCTGTCGTCCAATCTCACTCTCCACGTGGATTTCCTGCAGTGGCCCTGGCAGACCGGTCCCTGAACCTGTCGTGCTACCTGCTTTCTTACGTTGCTCATTTGCCACGCTTTCTCCGACCAGTGCAGCGGCGTCTTCAGAATCGAGAAAGCAAAAGTGCATCTTTTTCTTAACCCAAGCCACGATAGCGACCCCATCAAATGTCAAACCGGTGATGGCTAGCTTGAGGGGAATTCCAACAAAGCTCGGCATTGGATAGTCAAGTAGAATTTCGGCCGTTAGAGTCATGCGTACGTCTCCAGAATACTTGACTCTTGCCACCACTTGCAAATCTGACGCCTGCCTGCTCTGAAGCCTAGATGCCGACAAAGGCGTCAATGCATCGAGCGTAGCATCGTCCAGGCCGCTATCGCCGACAGGCTGTGCTCGATGAGGCAATCGAGGTGATGAGATTCCGGATTCTGAATCACGCGGAGACGAGATACTGTTTGCGGTGGAAGGTCGCGTAGATGGATCGTCTTGTCCTGTTACGTCTTGACTCACTGGCTTCATGTGCGTTGATCCATGAATAGGCATCTGATGCGGCAGAGCGAAATTATGAGACGGATCGTACGACCAAGATCGAGGGCTGAAAGGTGTCCCACTTGCAACTGCGGCCAACGGAGTCTGAGTCCCAGAGAGGCCGCCTCCAGGGAAATGGAAGTAGCTGAGATTAGATGTGCCGCCTGGGATGCCAGGGGTGGTACTTCTTGGGAAAGGCCCCATAGCAAAAGCCTCGTCGCCTGAACTGAGACCGTCTCTAACTGCAGTCGAGGAATTGAAGTGAGCAAACCCCGAGCCCGTAACTATGTTGGACGGTCGCGGCATCGAGCGTGAATGCTGAGAAGACGAGGCAGGGTCCTGCGGCTGATAGCGGTTCGTGGTCTCGGCCCGCTCGTTCTGCGCAGACCCAGGCGCAGATTCGTGCGCATCTTGGTCGCCGCCTACCTCCTCCTCCTCATCCTCTTCATCTTCGTAGAAGTCAGGGAGCGGATTACAGATGTCCTTGATCTCGATTTCAGGACAGACTGATCCCAGCTCGAATGAATGGACATGGACGGCATTGATGAAGCGGGGAAGAGGAATCTGCTGGAACTTGTCATGGACGAAAGCGCGAATCTTCTCGGCGAGGGCGGCGCCATCGGGGCCCGAAGTGATCTTCTCCCATCCGATATCCACAGACATCTTGTAGCATCTTCAGGGGTCTGAACGTCGAAGGAGGAGGTGAGGACATCAAGGATACCAAGGATGAAAGGTAACAACTACGAGGCTTTCCACTGTGGCGAGGCTTGGCATTGTTGACACTTTGACCAGGATGGAAAAGACATTTCTGCAGCCTTACTCTGAGGACTTGTAGACAGCCCATGGACTAGACCAGATCGCCATCAGATACTGCAGCACACAAGCTGATTTGAATTCTATCGCGACCATAAGAGTCTACTGCTACGGACAAGTTAAGGCTAGAGATGTACGAGGACGAGCCCACACCAAAAAATATGCCCAGATGATCAGCGAGGTGTCGGTGACCAGAACAGGAGGACTGTAAGTTTTCCGCGCAGATCAGTCGTGGATCGTATTATTTGGTCCCTTGTTGATCTGATTGGTATCTCAAGTTATGCACCTCACAGGCATTTAGGCCAGGCGTATCCTAGGCACTCAGGGTCGGAAGTCCTTGGTACACCGGACAGGCGTCCTCCAGTACGCAGCGTAGGTGCGCCCTATGAGGAGGCACTCAGGAGAGGCGTGCTCCAGGCGCTCAGGGTAGAGTACGTGGGTACATGCATCCATAGAACAAGACCATGAAATCCATGTCTCCTCCCCACCCTGGCGTGTCTCTGTAGTGACTAGATGTATGTGGGTAGGGTAGGTTTCCGCATAGGGTAAACTACACGCATCAAGGCTCGAGGGGGTCTCGGAACCTCAACGGAGTAGAGAAGTGTTCTCCTAGAAACATGTGGAGATTGTCCATATCTTTCGCCTCGCCAGCCGTCTCTTGTCTTGACCGCTCTTTTTAGGATTCGGAGGATGTGGTGGCCCGGGAGATTGACTTGTAGGTAGGTCTGGCAAGGGGATGATGTGGTTAATAGTCATGTGTGATATGTTGTGGTGATGTGATGAGGTTGAGAAAGGTACTTGAGAAGCTGGTGCTGCTTTAGCTGCCAAGGGCCGCAGCGAGACTCGCGAGTCCATGCCAAGCCCCGCACATTGCGGCTTTTTCCCTGTGACTCTTTCACCGCCTTCTTCATCAACTTCATCCTCTTCATTCCTCGTCAATCTTTCATCGTCACGTCAATGTATCGAGAGAACGGTGTCCGTGTATGCTCTCGATGACACCTGAAACGCTGCTGCACGTGCCAAGGTCAAGGTAAGCCCACTTCTTTGCCGGAAACACATTTCCGAGCCCCGGGTACTCCCTCTCGGACTGAAGGAAGCAAAACAATTCCCCCTTCTGTACTCAGTACATTGCCCACAAAAGAATGTCCGGAGGCAATCTCAGAAAGAACCTTATCGCCTTTCCGTTGCTTTCCGTGGGACCTTGAGATGCTGCACTCCCCCAAAGCCATTGGCACGGTGTGTCTCGTATCACATTCAGGTAGTGTGGGAGTCCAATCCAGCCTTTGGGTCGCCACACACCACGTGCCGCCACAATTCGAGTGAGCTGCCGCCTAAGGCCCGGCTGGACGCCCCGTTACCAATGGCCATGACACCGCTTTACCGTCACACTGACAAACCCAAGTGGGAGTCAACCATTTGAAGGGTGTTTCAATGCATCAGAACCACGCATAACTGGCTTCGAGAAATTCTCCGTCATCAGCGTGCGTTACACAGGCGTTGCTCGGGGCCTGATTATCATGCCACACTAACCGAGGTTAACCACGGTCATTCCCGGGCTTACATTAGCTTGGAACGGACCCACCACTGACGATGTCCATGTCCAAGTTGGAAACCTCGACCATGATGATGCCCATCGAGACACGTCCAAGCACTCCCCCAGCATGCTACCGGTTTTATCCGCGATCGACGGCCTTTCAATTCGCCCTCGACATTGTTCACGGCGAGAACGGTAAGGTCAACCCCTGGCCAAACGCTGCATTGACTAGTGCCTTCGTGAACTAAATCTCGGAATCGTTGTTGTGGAATTGTGGGAGAGGGGAAGTCTACGAGTATAAGAAAGGCGCCCGAGCCCAGGAAGCACCCGCACTCTTCTCTTTCCTTCCGACCAGGAAGTTCCCAATCTGTCAAATCCACTTCTTGCCATCCTGAAAAACCTGAGGAATCACGGGCACGCACTGATTTCCAATCTATTGACGCCACACGTGGTATCAATCAGCTTCTGCGGACATAATCTAAGCAAAAGCCCGCACGCGTGATATCCGGTGTCCCGAGGCAACTTTAACAAAGTCGTCGTTGCGTCATATTGGAAAACAAAGAACTCACATAAAGCACATCACAACACTCTTTACTTGCATCATTCGACCTTGAACTTCTTGAGTCCTTCAACCACCAGCTCCCAACCATCTACACATTCCATTCCTTGGAACATCGCAGACCAGTCGCTTCTACAAAATGTCCGCCCTCACTAATAAGTTCCTCACCCTCATCCCTGCCGCTCACCGCGTCCATGTGACCTCTCCCATCACCGTCGAGAATGCCACCAGCGACGAAGCAGTAGTCCCTGTACTTCAAAAGACCCGACGATCCAGCTCCAGCGCCTCTGCCGAATCCAACTCGGCCGCTGAAGAACCTGCTCTGCCAACCGACATTGTTGAATCTCCTGTCGAGTCAGTCAAGCGCACACAAACCGAGCAAGTCGTCACCCACCAGTTTTTGAGGTTGGGTAACTAGGTCATGACACCGCGCCGGCAACTTTGCGTCAAAAGTTCACCAAGCTATCTCTTTATGTCGTTGATCTCTTGGGCCAGAGGCGATTCTTTCGGCCTCATGACGAATTTCCATTACGATTCTGTGTGCGCAGCTGTTTTAACACCTGTTATGCCAGCGGTTACGCTTAGGAGTTTTTTCTAGTACTTTCCTTTGTCATGAGGATGCACAGTACGCTATCCACGGGAAGGGATTGGTTGGTGTTTCTGTACGATTTACGTGGTGTTCTCTCAACTGAGAAGAACCCGAGCAAGAGCAGGATGAGACCGTTTTTCCTAGTTTACGGCCTGGCAAAAATGAAGGGCAGTCCTGTGTGGGACGAACAATGAGAACCCAAAAAGGAATCCATTGTCTCGAGAATGGCAATTTTCGTACTATTTTCAAGTTCTATACTGACAATGGAATTCATGGGGTCAATACTTCCAGAGGCTTGTTTGCTGCGTTGTCCATCATTGACTTGGATCTGTGCACCATTGCCATGCATGCAACGCTATCTCCGACACTACTTTTACTACTATTCCCTCCCAGCGCTGGCACCACTACTGGATTGCGAAACAATGCAAGTCGGAATCTTCTTTGCCCACTCTCCCACCCAGCTAACCTAGCCTATTGTTCCGTGACCCACCCTGTGTAGAAGTTCCCCCGATATCTGGACGGTTTGCCCGTATCCGTGTTCGTGCCAGACCAATTATTGTAAAGCCAAATGTCATGATCATGATACCTACGAGACGAGAAGGATGGGGGTGTCCTCGATATGCCATGTCTGTCCAGCCACCCTTCAGCCTCTACGAATGAAATAATACTAGAACGTACATACATACAAACGTGAGGATGTGCCTGTTACGTTTGCAATTCGTGGGGACCGAATCAAGAGACTTCCTTACTAGTCGTAAGAATACTCGTAACCTCGGTGCAGCTCCACCAAGTTCCACGGCATTATCATTATCAACCTCATCCTCGAAATCATCCTCGAATCCTCATCGTCATCATCAGCTGTCTCCACTCTGGAACGCACCCCCCCCCCCCCCCCCCTACGTAGGTAGGTAATGACCAACGAATAAGCAAGAAGAGAAAAAAAAAGACCCAAGGAAGGCGATGGACAAGGAAGAAGGAGAACGAGAATGAGAACGGACGCCTGCCCGTTTTTCACTACGAAGAGCTACGAGGACCTACGAGTACGAGTAGTAGTAAACACCCCTGTCCTGGCCCCCGGTCCCAAACTCCAAGTGCAAGTTCAAACCCCACTCACTCGCTGAGGGTGGTCTTCCGAGAAGGACTGTGCCATTATTCATGACTCGTACTTGGTACTTGCCTCTGATTCCGGACAGACTTGTTGCTGGACCTTGTACTCGCCTTGGTGGTTGATCGTTGATGGTTGGTGGTTATGTGGTTAGTGGGCACGAGAGTCTCTGGTGGAAATGCGGGGTCATGCCGACTTCGGGTCCTGAAGCGCCTGTCGGCGACGGTGAGATTGGTCCATCCTTCCACGACTCCCGGGGAGATGTGGGGTGGACAGAACGAGGAGGAGGTCTACCGCGATCGAAGATTGGTCCGTACAGGCTTGACAAGGTACGTAGGTAAAAAACAAAAACCTTGGACCTGGGGCTTGAGAAAGGGAAAGACGGGACGGTGTTTGATGGCCGAACATTTTTTTGGTGATGGACGTTTCCCTCCGTCAAAGAGAAAAGAAGACAGACTTCCGTAAAACCCGAAGAGAATACTCGGTAGGTCCAATGAAAATACCACTGGTGCCCACCTCCAGAAACAGGATCGGCTCAACAGGCCGGTCCCTAGGACGAATTTCCGGGTCAATAATGTCCACAATTCGATGTCGATGTTGTGATTGTAGATGACAAAGACAAAAAAGACTCCGTGCCCCTTTTCTAACGGAAGACGGCCCGACCACTTATCCAGAAAATGGCCACAATCCACCATGCCATGAATCCCCCGCAAACCCCCCCTCCTCCTCCAGCAACCCGAACAAAGACTTGTCAGATGAAAATCCCCAGTGTCTCGGTAACTTGGACGACAAGGCCCCCAAGGGTTGTGTTCGCGACGCTAACACCGTAAACACCCAGGCCGGTAAGGAGGAGTCCAGTGTCAGCCTCAAACGGACCGAGGAGGTTACCGAGGATGCCACCTCTTTCGGCGAGGTTGTTCAGCACTAGTTAGAATGAGTCTCCGGCCTATCAGGCATTCTGAGCGGCAAGTGATACACATACCTCCAGGTGCCAATAGCAGGGGTTCCGCAACAGGGCTGGTATTTGCCATGCTGGCCATGAACGGCAACAACGCAAGCAAGATCTGAGTCTTCATCTTCTGGGTGGAGAGTGTTCCGATACTGATCGCTGGGTAAATCTTGAGGATGACCAGGTGTTGGAGGTCGAAAGATTCATGTGCGTGTCGAAGAGCTTCGCGCAGTTGACAGTAAGGATATGATCGTGACCTTATATCTCTCCGTGCTATATACCAGGCGAGATTCTTGCCTCCTTTTCAGCAGTGCATCCTTCGCACCTCTTCATCGGAGGATGCGTCACCTGTGCTTGAGCGTCGTGGGCGTGTGGCCTGCTTCCCTCGAACCATTGTCGCAAATTCGAAACCCCTGAAACAAGGCTGTCGCACAGTGACCGCATTCTCGGGACATTGAAACGTAACGACGTAGTTTTGTTGAGGCCGCCACTGAAGTATGTCCTTCTCTGAGCTGAGAGGTTCGGGATCTGTCGATCTCAACCGTCAAGATGACAAAGTCAGGGACGCATTTGATGGTCCCAAATCTCGAGGCGTCTTAGGGAGTGGACCATTGCTGATCGGGGATTGTCGCAGCAACTGACTGACAGGTTGCAGCTCTCTTCGTGTCTCTCGACACCCTACCACCCAGGGTTCTGCCAAAACACACAAGGAACAAGCCCCCCCGAGGCTGATTGGATTTAGGGGGAGCCTCGTGGTCGGTTGACTTTCCTCCAGGGAGAACCAGCTCGGCTAACGAACCCCCAAAAGGGCAAGTAACAACTACTGCGTTTCTCCAGAGGCGTCACTGCGCATCTTCCCCCGCAATAGATCCCAAGGTCTTTTGATGTCGCACTACTCCGTTCCGTGCGGCCTTCTGTTACATTTTCGATTCTGCTTTCAAATATTGTGATTGTCTGTCCTACAATGAGCTGACACCGACCTCTATCTCAGCTCGCCTGTTTCCCAACTCTTGTGTCAAAACCTTTCCTCTCGTCGTAATGCCTCGGCTACTCAAAATCGGGGTATCCCAATCCCGGACTCTCTCGTCCCTGCAAGAGACCTTGTCCGCCCTTCGTGAGACCACCCAGTCGGCCGCGCAGAAAGGCGTGTCCATTCTTCTCTTCCCTGAAGCCTACCTGGGGGGGTATCCGAGAACGTGTTCATTTGGCGCAGCGATCGGCGCACGGACAGCCGCAGGTCGTGATCAGTTTCTTGCCTACACAAAATCTGCAGTTGACTTGGGCGATACACCGTCGGGGGCTGGGGATGACTGGACGGACAGAAAGCTGCCAGTGAACAAGGAGACCGGTCGGAGAGGGGATGGAACCCGAGAGTTTCTCGAAGAGGTTGCAAGAGAGACCGGCGTCTTCGTCGTGACTGGACTCATCGAAAAGGCAGGAGGCAGTCTGTATTGTGCGGCAGTATACGTCGACCCAAAGAGAGGTATCATAGGCAAGAGAAGGAAAATCATGCCTACGGGGTCGGAACGGCTGGTGTGGGCGCAGGGCCAACCTTCGACACTGAAAGCGGTGGCTACGACCATCAAGGGAATCCGAGTGGTCATGGGATGTGCGATATGCTGGGAGAATTTCATGCCCCTGTTACGGTACAGTCTCTACAGCCAGGGTGTGAACCTATGGCTGGCGCCTACAGCTGATGCGAGGGATACGTGGGAACCGCTGATGAAGACTGTTGCTGGAGAGGGCCGTTGTTTCGTTCTCAGCACCAACCAATGCATGAAGAAGAAGGACTTGCCTGGTTGGGTCACGGGCAATCCAAGCGAGTGGTTGGCGAAGCAGCCAAAGCCCGAGTCGGAGACATTGGTTAACGGGACTGCTTCTTCACATCACCACTCAGTGAGCAGTGGTGGCCGAAGGCTGTCCATGACCCGGACGGAAGAAAATCACGAGATTGCATGGCGCTGCAAAGACTCTCCGATCGACGAAAGCAAACCCCTCGAATCGTCCCAACAGGAAGTGAACAACAACACCACCACTCCCTCTACACTCCCTGACGGTGAGGACTACGTCACCCGAGGCGGCGCCTGCATCGTTAACCCGCTAGGCCAGACCATCGCTGGCCCGGTATGGGAGAAGGACAACGAGCTCCTATGGACGGAGGTCGACTTTGACGATTGTGAGAGGGGACACTTGGATTTTGATGCCACGGGCCATTATGCACGCCCGGACGCGTTCAAGTTGACCGTCGAGGGGCTGGATTTGATTCCACCCCCTTGAAACTAGCCATCTATATATTAAATATATATAATATCCCCGAACAATCGTCGCCTACGACGCTAGTATCGAAACTATACGTAGCTAGTCTATTCAAGTCTAACAGGCCTTCCGGCTGCAATGCAATTCCCAGTGACCCTAGAATCACAGTGTGCGCACCTTGAGAAATCTCAGATCAACCGACCGATCAGGTCACTAGGGTTTAGTGTGTATAGAAATAGGTAAGGGGTGGATCTTACCTAAGTTATGCGCTTCTGTATGTAGGTAGTAGTCTCACTACCACCTCTCCTTACCTAAAACTTTTGGAAATTGCTATATTGATGAGATCTCAGATGACAGAAAGCAGGCATCATAGTAAGCGGCAAAAAAAAAGGAATATGCCTCGGACGAGAATCGAACTCGTGACCTTCGGATAGCCCCCCGCGTGTTACACGGGATCATAAACCATTTATGAGACCGACGTCATAACCGACTTTCGGAAAGTTAGCTTGAATCAAAGAACGTGGAGACGGAAAATCTTACCTAGACCACCAAGGCAATCAATTTAATTGGATTTGAGACGAATTTTGGGCATGGAAATTATTATCTGAATCAATTTCTGGCTGTGGGAGCGGAGTTTTCCGTACGTGTTCAGTGCCCCGGGGGGAAGGAGCAGGGTGGCCCGAAAAGTGCCTCACGGTGCTCGGCAACAATAACCGAGAGTGGGCGCTCAGGTTTAGAAGCGGAAATGGACTTTAGAGAGATTCAGATTCGCCGCTGAGCATCGTGGTATAGGGCTCATGATCGAAGAAGCCCCTGAGCCCGAACTGGCTTCTGAGAACAGGCACTAGAGAAGCTCCTGACTGCTCGTCCAGTGCTCGGGCGCGCTCCCTCCTACTCTACTGTGGCTCCCACGACGCTCCCATGCTTGGCCGAGCATCCGTCACGTGCCCGAGTAAAGCGGCCTCGCTCCCTTTCTGAATGAAAATGGCAAGGGACAGAGCACAGTTTGGGGATGATATAATATATACATATCATCCCCGAACAGTCGACGCCCATGCGTGTTTCGCTGACTCATCTCTCGCCGCTTTACTCTCGCGCTAACGACTATTTAGTCGATTCGCTCCCTCTACTCTCTTCTGCTCCCTTCCTCTCTTTGGCCCTCCCCTTCCACTCCTTTCTGCTCCCCCGTGCTGCTTCATGCTCCCTCGCGGCTCTGGCCCACTCCTGCCGTACTCTTTCGCCTGCCAGGGATACCAGGGAGGCTCCCGTTTGGGCTCCAGTCTTATAGGCGCCAATGTCGCACACATCCAGCCTCGTGGTAACTTTGCCGACCACGTCTACGAAGGCCCGTTTCGGCCCTGATGAAAGGGGGAATCCCTAAGAGGATGCCCTGCTATGTTGCTGGACGGGGTCGACTGAGCCTCCCTCCCACAGTTCTGTAGGACAATGCTTCTCTTCCTTTCTTCCTTTCCCTTACCTTCTTGTCCTCTCAGTCCTCACATTTTCCCTTGCCCTCCCTCTGCTTGCCGTGCAAATAACTGCGTCTTTTCGCTCTTCTGACTACCTGAACGCACCTTCCTCGCGTTCCGTCGTGCTTTGACCCTCCCTCTCCGGTCGTCTGCTTTTCCTTCCCTCCAGGCGCTCGTCCCCTCTCCGGTGCTTCCCGCCCTGCTCCCCGTTTCCCTAATGCCGAAGAGAAAGAAAACCGCGGCGGAATTCTTTGATGAAGCGGCGGAGAACGGCTGGGAGCCGATTGCGAACGCCGATTCAAATGGCGATCCGGTCAGTCAACCTATTAAATCTGGGACTAAGCTGAACTACGCCCGGATGACCGTCCTCTAGGAGGAGTAAGTTCTTCGCCCGCCTAAGGGCCGTACTAGGCTTTACTAATAAAGGTGAACTTTAGGATATAGGTATGCAAGGCGAAATCCTAGTGTTACCCTCTCCGATTCACGGTCTACGAAGGTCTTATAAAGGGGAGTAAGGCTAGCCTAAGTCTATACTATATGAAGTAAAAGTGGACCGACTTATGGGTCCCACACCTAGGTACAGCATTCCGGCAGACAAGGACAAATAGTTCTTTGGGGCTTCGTTGAACAGCATAATAGCCTCTGCGGTGTGCAAGGCGCCATGTGCCGCCTGCGCCGATGGGCGTTTGAGAGAGTGTTGACACAGGTGAGGCCTGCATCGAGTGCCTCAGTCTATTCCTCGAGCCCCTCCGAGGTGCCCTGCCCATGTCTCGACACGATTCAGACCAATGATATCTTTGCATATAAGAGATATGAGACCTTAAATCTTGCGTGCGAGTGCAATGATCCCTGTGCCTTTGAGCATCCCTGGGGCAGCGGGATTCATGCCGCACAGATTCTCCACCACCTGGTCGAGCAAGCGTTTCCTCTCATCTTCGCCATAGCCATCAGTAGCATTCTTCATGACTGGCATCAGCAACAGCGTCTCCGCGAAGTCAAGATGGTCCTTGTATTGGACCTCCGACTCGAGCAAAAAAGTCTCGACATCCACGAACCCGGTCGCCTCCAATTCCTTTCTAACACCCTCTTCCGAGGCCCAAGGCTCACGAGTTAGTCTCAAATGAGTTCCTGGTCTGACGTGTTCAACCGCATCCTGGAGCGCATCTAGGTGTTGGCCGCCCTTTCCACTGGACAGCGCCAGCGTACCGTCCGACTCCAAAATCCGACGGGTCTCCAGCAGCGCCTTACGAGCATCCGAAAGCAAGAAATAGAGATGTCCACCGGTGACATGGGATATCGAGCCGTCAGGGATGTTCGACAGATCGTGGGCATCGAGGTTGTGCAACTCCAGCCGATCCCAGCCGTTTTTCTCCATCGAGACTCTGGCCCGCTTTGTTTCAGCCAACACTTCCAGCATGTGCACGCTGAAATCTGCGGCGATGATTCTCGCCGAATCAGGTATCTCGCAGCCAAAAGTATCGAGGATATGCGTTATGATGGTGCCGGTGCCGCATCCATTGTCGAATATGCCTTTTGTAGTCGCAAAGGGTAAGGTCTCGTTCATGCGAGCAATCATGGTTTGCACGGTGTCTCCCGCTTTCAGGCCATGTTTCTTGTTGGCAAGTTCCTTCCAGGATTCGCCGGTAGCTGCGGAATTGTTAGTCCTATGGTGCTATCTGCATATCCGGACCATTCATCTCACAATGCAGGACAGTCTGGCTCATGTTTGCGATAGAACGTAAAAGCCTTGTGCGGATCTGGTTTGTATCTCCTTGGAAAGTACAAATCTTACAGATATTCAGTTCCTTGCTCAAGTATAGCATAGATATAGCTCTTCAGGTCCTCATCCTCGCGTAAAGTGGCGAAACCCACGGGAGAGAAAAGTTTCCGAGATGGACAGAATTAATGTCTCCGAAAGCCATGCACACGTCGACACCCCTGGTCAACCAGGGGCGCTTGACAGCTTTGCTCCACCAATCCAGGGACGGCCATGCAGAAAATCGCGTGACTTACAACGGAAAGGTGATGGACAGGGTCTCGCCGGCCGACGACCTCTGTATGTCGTAAAACGGTGCTCAGCTGAAATGCTTATCGGTCTTTTGTGGTGTCTCAGTCGTCGGGTTGATCACGACGGCATCCCATCACCGATTCGAAATCGCACAGATTCCACGCCGTGCACTCTGGAAGCGCCGCAGTTTTCCAACTTGGGAAGGAAATAGCATAGCTATGCAGATTCAGCACGCACTGCGCATTGACGAGGGACAATTCCAGAATCGTTCAAGGCGTCCTCCACCCCAATCCACCTGCAGCGACCGAAAATTCCTCGGCAACCCGGGTCAGCATACAGGTTCCCCAAGCTAGGAAGTGTATTAGGCGGCGTGCAGTCCTCGAATGCAAGCCTTGCTTGGCCCCGCGTGATTCTAGGTGTTGAGACGACCGTTGTATTGGTCGCAAAGGAATTTTCGGAGGAACAAGCAACTGCTTCAGTCTTCTGTTGCGGCGTGGGATTAGTCATGGAGAAATCTGCCGTTTCGTGTCGGGAGGCTGATAACGGCTAGGCGGTCATATGCCATGAGGATGACGCGAATCGCCATTTCTTGGGAGCGAGCTTCAGCCTCGTCAGCCGGTGATCTAAATGCCCGTGACCTATCAGGTAGGACATCTGCCAAGTACCTTCTCGTTCACGTCGGCATAGAGGGCAGGTTGGCCGTCGACATGTTTGGAAATGGGGCAGCGAGTAGTAAGTGGTATATTAAATTTAATGTACTGTAGCTATGTCGAATTTCTCAACCCAAGGGGGGAACCTCTCTATGAACTCGCCACGTCATCTACGCTACATGTGCTCTTTGCGTCTCCGTTTAGCTTCCTCATGAACGCTGATGATCGCCTCTTTTGCGCCAGCCCATACCTTCCGGCGGCCGTTGCTGTCGAACAATCGATAGACATGCGGACTGTAAATCCCATCCATGAGGGCGTTGCAGAATTTTCTGTCGTTCCACCAGAACGCCCAACCTTTGCGCCCGTAGCCCAAGTGCTCATTCACTCGACAGCCTGACGTTTCATCAAGCCAATCATTCCAGTCAGGTGCATATACCATACGAGTGTTGAAGGCCCCCCGAGCCAAGATGGCGTTTGCCCAGGCGAGGTGGCCTCGAACCCAAGTGATCATTTCATGGCGGGAAGGGAGCGACGGCGAAGAATCACCTGGCTTCCATAATTGCGCAATAGCCATAGTGGCGAGGTCGTAAATTTGGAACGCGGCCGATGGAATTGCTGCTGTGCCGAGGAAAGCGAGGGAATCCGGGTGAGTGAGCGAGAGGAGATTTTGATACAGTCTGGGAATCGGTGGTTCGAATCGGGTTGGTTTGGAGGCTGAGCTTGCTGTCAATAGGGGTGGCACCATTTCCAAGGCCCTGTCTGAGACGTCTGTGTGCCTTGTCTCGAGCGTGGGATCAAGGTCGCCAACGATGCTGTAGTCAACATGATACCCAGTGCACCATATGATCGTGTCGACTTCTACAACCTCCCCGTCCGCCAATTCCACGGAAAAATCACCGGCGATTTCTTTGGCCATCTCAACAGACTCAATCTCTCCCTTCTCCAACGCTGGAATTAGGGTATCCGTTACCGTTGGTACACTATGGACGAAGGAAGGTGCGGGGTTGATGCGCCATTCAGGTTTCAGTTTAAATGCCGCATTCTGGATCTGGCCCAGCATGTTGTTACTCATGGCCTCCCACTGTCGCGGGAGATACCGCTGGATCGCTAGTGACACTCTCGTTTTTCTGTACGTAAGGCTGTGGTCGAGTGGTTGTCCGTCGGGCTGTGACCTGGGTAACTAGGTCGACGTGAGTCTGATGATCTGCGTGAAACTCCTGAGAAGCACTGACTATGTACGCGCCATGCCGGTGGGACAGCAAAATCTTTTTCGCAATCCCCACCAGCGATGTGGCAGTGTCCGCCGCGGAATTGCCTATGCCAACAACCATCACTCGTTTACCCTGGTAGTCAGAGGGCCTAGTGGATCGGTGTCAATACATGCCCAAGGATTGCAGCCAGCAAACACTGGCCTTTTGAAACTCCAAGAGTGTAGAATTTGCCCTTTATACAACTCTTGGCCCTTCAGAGTTGGTACCACAGGTCTGTTGTTAGTCCCGGTGGCCACCACAACTTTAGCAAACGAGAGCAGACTGCTCGCTCCGTCGGCACCAACGACATGCAACACCCATTTCTTACTTTGGTCATCTCTGGTCACGCTCAACACGGTCGCTCCCAGCTGTATGTAGGGCAGAAGCTCGAAATGAGCCGCATAATCGGCAAGGTACTTCTGGACATCTGCCGCAGAGGCATGGGAACTTATATCTGGGATGTGTTAGTCCACCCGCAAGCAGTAGTGTTGATTAGCCATTCAACTGTGATGAATAACGATTATGACAACGCCGATGCTTGCCTTTTGGAAACGGAAAATCCGTGAAGCAGCCCTAGTAACGGTAAGTGAACGGGAACATTTGCTCTCCTATGAGCATTGGGAGCCCACCCTCTCTTTCGAGATATTCACAGTTGTAGCTTCGATGACTGTCAGCGCATCCTGTAGCATTGAGTGTCCCAAAAGGGGTTGTTTACACTCTAGGACCGATGTTTGATCTTTCTCGGTGAATTGCCAGAGACCGCCCACGTACAAATTTCGGTCAAATCCGGTCGCATTGAACCCTTCCTCCCTCAGGTTCTTGAGCGCAACAAGCCCAAAGGCCCCTATGGGGAGTAATATGTTAATTTATATTTGCAGGCCAGGAAAGGACGCACACCTAAGCCGACGACAGCAACGCTTATCTCAGACAAAGCCATATGGTGGTAATCCGTAAGGAAGATTATGCTGTCGAACCTTTGGGACCGAAAGCATTAAGAACAGATCCATGCCGATGTCGGAGCGACTTTTAGTTTAGTGCCCAGGAGCCAGGACTGTCTGCCAAATTAGGAAAGACGCGTTAAGGTCCTCATCTCTCACGGCCTGGTGGATGCATCAGGGATACTGACTCCGATCTATGTGCATTCACTTCAATCCTTGCCGAGTTCGCCTAATGTAAGAGGGTGCAATATCCGCTGGGAATCAGCGTCTTAGAAACCCTACTGTTAACCCAAGCTTTCTGGGCTTTTGCTTGATATTTTCGACTGCCTCTGTACCACGCGACCCCAGCCGCGTCGACCCCGGCACAGCAGATTCCGGGACGTAATCTGCAACGACGACAACGACTAACTCGGCGCAAGAATTTTCGCGCTCTTCGTCATTCTGGTGGTGTCTACCGTTATCACCCTTTTTCCAGTTGTTGCGAAAAGAGTCCCGAGACGGCGCATCCTTCTTTTATGTCTACTGTCCACGATATTTTCGGCCGGTGTGACCGTTCGTACCACCTTGTTCACCTCCTCGACCCGGCCTATGCTGAAATTGGCCTCAGACATGCGTAGGCATGACTGGGGTCTGGCTGATTAGGCCGGGTGTCTCGTCATCGTATTCACATCGGTCATGATGATCTTCTTCCTCGACGTAGGAGGAGATTAATTAGTACGTCGAGATGAGATTTGGCGCTGTTGGCGACATAAACGTCGAAGAGGCAATGAAACTCTGCTTTCGCTGGCACGATTAGACCCTCGTCCGCATTGAGAGGACCACCAACACCATGACCATGGAAAGCTTTTATGCAAAGACTCAAAAGCCGGTATTTTACCGGTGGCACGTCATGGCCTTAAGTTCTGTACCCGAGCTGTCGAGGTAGGAAAATGAATCGTCGGAGCAAGCCTTTGACCCTGATAGCCAAGACACCGCGGTTTCATGCAAGTGGCAGTATCAGCGACCGAGGCAACCATGACTTTAACCATTCTTCACACAATCAGACCAAAGATGATTCGCACAACGGGCATGGACATGGCGGATATGGTCATTCTCACGGTGACCTGAATATGCGCGGAGTCTTTCCTCATGTCATGGGTGATGCACTGGGAAACATCGGCGTGATAGGATCTGCACTGATCATCTGGCTCTGCACATTCCATGGCCGCTACTACTTTGATCCGGCTATTTCGTTGGTCATCACCCTTATCATTCTGCACGGCGCAATCCCTCTTTGCCGAGCTGCTGGCCGCATTCTCCTCCAGGCCGTTCCTATGGGCATGTCGATCGACGAGATTACGACGGACATTGAATCGCTCCAAAGTGTGATTGAAGCTCACCACCTCCACGTGTTGGCAATCCAGCGACACAAAACTGGTGGCGAGCTTGCACGTGAAAGTGGACTGCGAGATCGAAGGTGCTGAGTCTGCCAGCTACATGCACCTGGCACGCGAAATTCGCAGCTGTCTTCACGGCTATGTCATTCACAGCTCGACAATTCAACCCGAATTCGTCAATGAAGCAGCCACATTCGCCGTCTGGTTCGACGACGGTAGATAATGGCAGTGGACAGTTGACTCCAAAGATCAATGCCACTTCCAGTAAGACTGCCAGCATCACAAGCGAAAGCTCTTCATGTCTGCTTGACTGTGGGGATCTATGCTCGGGGAATAAGATGTGTTGTCCGACAGGTAGCGATCTCCGACCGACTGGGAATGGAGAGCTTGGACGAAGAAAAGGTATTTTGATCATGTCTATAATGATTTGGCCGACCGCAAAACGACCAGTTAGACCGGCGTTCCTGGGGCTTTTTAGGGTGTACCCTGTACTCCTCATTGGCAGAGTATCAGATCCAGCCTTGCGTCGCAAGGCTGAGGAGCACTTGACTGATCTCTGGGTGCTCGGCCCGCTGTGTGGCAGAGCAAGAGGAGCAACAGAGCACGCGGAGCGTTTACAGTCTACATGTGGAGTACGCAATTTCAATGAGCCTGTCCCAGGAACGCCTAGTCCGGCGAGGTATGAACCACGTCTTGGAACCCAGAACTCTCCCCGAAATCAGATGAGTGCCAACAACATTCCGCACCCACGCGAGCCTCGACCTCTCCCAAAAATCAACCGTAAAGTTCTTCGTCTCCGCACGCCAGGATCCGTTACAACATCAGGTTGTGACTGACAGGGTTACCAAGGTAATGTAATGACGATCACGTTGCCGCCTCGAAGGTCCTCGACCGAGGACCCCCGAACGGCGCTACATAGTAATACTCCTATAATTAGTTAATAGTACATAGTCTGATACGTCCCCAGGACCTAGTAGAATTCACCATGTTCCTCTATTAAGTTACACCGCGCTTCCTTTCCTGAACGAAAATAGTAATGGACGAAGTACAGTTCGGGGATGATATATATATACATTCCGTATCGTATGGTAACTGTGAAAATAAACAAAAGAAACGGATCTTCACAAGGATTAAGACGGGAAGTGCGTCGTCCATATACTACACCACCATCCCTGCTCATCAGATCAAGCCGCCAAAGGAAGAAAAGGCGTAACACGTAAACTAAACCGCGTGGAAAGACCATGGCCGGAGAAGACACCCTCCATATGACTATGCCTTTTCTGCTTTTTCCCTTTTCTCACGCGTCCCAGCAAGCCAGCAAGCCTTGGTAGCCCTGGCCGTCCAATCCTGTCTTCATTCTCATCTACGCCTTTTTCAATCCTCTTCTATCCTTAAAGGATCTCTACCACACCCTACCCTACCTTATCACCATACCACCACATCGCCCTACCTGTCTTGTCTATCCTCATCCTCATGACATCCCGACCTGATTATCGCAAGTTGTCCCGCCGGATAAATTACAATAGCCACCACGCACGCACGCGGCAAAGATGGACTCGTACTCAAAGATCGGCAGGTGAAATTTTTATTCTGGTCTCATGCGCTGCGTCAAGCAGGCATCCAGCTCAAGATCAAGCAATGGGAGCAAAAGAATGCAGATCGAGCGAGGTAAGAGACGGACATCGCGGAGAGATTGTGTGCCAGCACGGCAATGGGGCGGACTTGTAACAAAGAGATGGGAGAAAGAAAATAAAAGGGAGCAGAAAGGGTTGGTGGTAGTCTCGTCACAAATGACTCGACAGGGGCACATGGGCATGAGAGCCTGCGAGAGCATGACGCCAGGGTTGTGTCCGCGTGGTCAGAGGGCAAGATTGGTCTGCCCAGTTCCGAACAGTGTTCGTTTTCTTTTGACAAGAGTATAGCTCGACTCACATTTGTTCCTCCGTCACACATTCGGTGACGGCCAAGGGTATCGTCAATCCAAACCCGCTTCCACCCAGATTCGGCCTCCCATAAACACAGCAAGATCATTTTCCCTGGCGCCGTTCATCTCCGGACTGTGACCAGCATCATATGGTAGAATCAATATGCCACTCGTGTCCTCATATCCGAAATCTTCCTCTCAATCTCCCTTACACTTCGGTCCAGCTCTCCCGCTATCATCTGTTTCTTATCATTCGAGAGCAAGAAGAAAGTCTCGCACAAATCGCCATCAATGATCCCTTTGGAGGGCGCGTAGTATGAGCGGTAGATGAGATGATCTCGACCCAAAATTGGGGGGTTGCCATTGTTCGACGCGAGTTGCATCTCCAGAGACTGGAAGAAATCAACGTCTTCACGGCTTACGAACGGCACCAGCATGCCCAGCGTACCCTGAAACCCCGTCCAGAACACCACATCTCGACCACCGGCCACGAGACTCGTCTTCTGAATGCTGGTGGGAATGTCGCCGGGGAAATAGTGCACCATGAGACTCAGTCGATTGGGTGCACCGCTGAGATAGGCTCGTTCATGAATCAAATGTGCTCCTGAGCCATCTTCATCGGCCTCTTCAGAAGCCTTGGTTGGGCAACGCAACAACCAGAGATTCCCGAACTTGTCGCCGCCTGCCACGGTTTCATAATCGACCATGGTGCAACACGTTGTCCAGCGAGCAATGACGTCGTCGACAAATGGAATAAGTTTGTTTTCTTGGTACTTGTATACACAGTATGTTACACTCTCCTGGATATCGCTGACGATAATTCTGCTTCCCTGGGTCTGTAAGCCAACGACGATGTTCGGGACTGCTTGAACTTGGCACTTGCGCAACATTTGTTTCATTCCGAGGTCGTAGATGCGTAGATCTGGTCCAATGCCTGCTAGAAGCCGACCCTGGAAAGCAAGCAAGGCGGTTGGAGGTTGCTCCACTTTTGTTTTGTGGATGAATTCGAGTTCTTTACCGTCTTCGTGGAAGCGATAAACATGTAAGAAACCGGCCGAGAATGAACGAGGACTGATCACCAGATCCTTTGCCGTCCCGACAATTAGGAAGGTTTCGTCATCTTGTCCTGCGAATGGCGCTGCTGTGATGCTGGTGGCACATTCGTTGTCCTCCAGCTCAAGAGTGAAGACGACGGATTTGGTCGTGACTGGGTCGACGATCTGGATACATGACGCCCAGTGGCCGGTCCCACGAGGATAGCCAAACTCATCGGGAGGGAGTTGGACAGCGTCTCCATTAACGGCCGTCGATTCTGTGAGCAATTTTGTTCTGGTGGCAGGTGCAAGAACGTTGTTGTCTGCTTCAATAACGTAGAACAAGGGTTGCTCAGGATGTTTGACGAATTTCCTGGGCGTGTACGAGAGTGGGATATTCTCTTGCAGTAGGTTTCGGGACAGATCTTCGATCGTAAATATCCTAGAACGGACAGTCAGAAAAGCCAGAGAGGAAGAATTTCGAACAGATTGCGGTTGAGTAACATCAGAAGGAACAATTGGTTGAGTTTTGGAGTCCGCATGAGTCGTTGACTCTCGGAAAGAGCATAGTTATGGGTTCATCACTTGAAAGACTTCGACTTTGGGAATAGAACTTGCCTTAGATTTTGTCCTTGAATGCCCACCATTCCCTCGGGACATTGTTCGCTTGTAAAGTTCCAGACGTACTGTAAACCAACGTAGTCGAGTGGTGTCAGCATGAAGCCGTTTGTTTGCCTATCCGTATATCCAAGCCAGGGCCGTGAACTCAGTGCCATGACGGCATTCTGTCCCTTGACCGAGACGCGGAAAAGCTTTGCCGGCTTCAGGCCCAAAAAGCGCGTTCGCGTGTCTGAGAGCTCACCAGTGATCTCATCTAGCACGGTCCGCAAGTAGACACCCGAGTAGAGACCGATATGGAGATAGAGCGTACTCCCGCCGGATGTGGAGTCAGCCATGGCCATGATTGACAGAGCTGAAGGTGCCGAAGTCAACGCCTGCACTGATTTGTTTTCGAGCGTTGAATCGGGGTCGAGACTTAATATCCTGACTGTGGAATCGTCGCATCCAACAGCAAGGAATGAGCTTCGAACCCGGCCCTCGGGTACCTCTCCAAGGGATAGACAGGTCACGGTTCCGGTCATTTCTCTTCGCTCATCATATTCTGCCAAGGATCCATCAGAGTCCATTTCAAAATAGACAATTTCGCCTGAACTCAGAGCTACAGCGACTTGTCGCTCGTTTGTGGAGGCAGCGACAATGGATCGATGCTGAGGTGCCGGCCACTCGTTCACCCGCTTGTCGGCTCGAATGTGTCGGATACCCTTGGGGTGTACTTGAATCAAAGCATCCTCGCCCAGCTGTTGCACGGCAAGGGTCGGAGCTGTTGAAAGAAAACCCGTGTCTGTGACTTCTTCCACGGTTTCCCCAATGCTAAGCACTAGGGTTCCAGTGCGGAAAGATAGCACGATATAAGCGTCGTACTCGTCTTCCCTTGTCAGTTTGGTCGTCCACACGGCCTCAGGCTTGTCAGGGAGCTCAGATTCCACAATCTCCGAAACAGACAGACCGTGCTTGAGAGTCTTGAAACTGCTTCGAGCACCCGATCCGCATATCGAGTAGATCTGTGGCGCATCTTCATCGAGAAGGTTAGCAACTTTGCAGTCCAGTAAGGGGTTTGCAGCATCTATGCTTTGCACAAGGTTGAGATTTGCGAGAGGTCGCACATGGAAAAAAGCCGGGGTGTAAGGTGCTGTTGGATCTGAAGGGAAATCGTCACTCGTGAATTCTGTCTCGTCGTCGTCATCTCCGAGCTTTTCAAATTGGTAGAAATGGTGGTTGCCACTTTCGCAGGCCACAAATAAAAACCCACTCTTTAATATGAGCAGGTTGTTCGCCACAGGCACTGTGTCGAAGTATTTCAGCTTAAGTGCCTTGACCTCACCAGTCGGCTGACCATTCTCGTCCTCGACCATTTCTATGGTGACTTTGAAGAGGTCACCGTCCTCGGTTTGGAGAAGCAAAAAGAACTGGCCTTTCATTTTGTGCATAACTCCCGCCACGATGTGGCGCTTGCGCTCAGGATTCTCGAGCACACCTCTTCTCCGGGGAATTGGCACACGAAAAGCCTCCTGATTTGAGTGTCGGTAGGTGATATTGTCTTCACCACAGACGAGAACGCCACTCGGCCCATCAGAGCCACCAGGCACCTGGAACAGCTTGATGGCACTCCTTGCCACAGGCTCAGCCCACTTACGGACAACATGG